CCATATAGTTGCCATTTCAAAATTTACGCTTGGAAGTAAATGAATTGGCTGATAGAGTGCATGATAGTTAAAGTATTCTGTTGTTGTTCAATCACTGCGTCTGGTATATTTTAGAATAGAAATCAATTCGAAAATTTATTGTTTGAAGCAATACCAAAAAGTGCCCAACTGTTTCGTATATGGAGAATTGGACCATTTTCCTCTGTATTTTTTGAGAAAATTTAGAATTCTTAAATACTGGTTAAATATCTTAACCAACAAAACACCAATTGTATATGATGTTTTTAACTTGTTACTTGAAGATGCAAATAGCGGTATAACAAACTGGGCTTCTGATGTACGTCATTTATTATTTGATAGTGGCCTTAATTATATATGGTATCGACAGTCAGAAATTCGAAATGTACATATTGATATATTTATTGATGTTTTTTAAGAATAGAATTACATATATGTATCAGTAAAATGTATATGCAAAGCTGGTTGTCATCTGAAGAAAGGGACGAAAATCTTAGTAGTTATACGAATATGAAGTTTGAATATAGGTTAGAAGATTATTTAGAAGATATAGGGATATGTCTAGAGAATAACTTTGATGCAAATATTGTAATATGCAGTGTGTTGAAAGCAAATACCACTTTTTACTTGAATGCTCTGCCTTTAGATCAATTAGGCCTAAACATTTGCAAAAAAATATTGTTCTTGGTCAGACACTATTGAATAACATTATTAATTTAAATTTACGTCTGTTTTACTTATAAGGAAATTGTGTAATTACATAAAATCTGCATGGTCAATCAGATCACATATTATTACTTAATGTTGTTTGTTTTCTTATTATGCATTTTATGTATTGCTCTCTGATGTTTATCAATTGTCATGTTGTAAAGGGTGTCGCACGTGGAGCAGGATCTGCATCTGGAGCACCTGATATCATCCCTGGTTTTTGGTGGGGTTCGTGTTGTTCAGTCTTTAGTTTTCTCTGTTGTGTGGTTTGTGTACTGTTGCTTGTCTTTTTTTCTTCATTTTTTTGCCATGGCATTTTGTCAGTTTGCTTTCGACTTATGAGTTTGAATGTCCCTTTGGTATCTTTCGCATCTCTTGTAAATATTTTTCGTCTCTATAGCGTATTTAATGCTTTCTGCAATAAAGTATTCATTCATTCATGCATTCATGTTGCTTTTCTGCATTTGAAGTCTGTGCAGTTTATTGTGGAGGGGGTCGACATGCATGGGTAAGGGAACATGGGAATGAGGGGCGGGAAGTGGGATTTAGGGGAAGGGAAGCGGGAGTCAGGGGGATGGGAACAGGGAAAGAGGGAGAGTAATAAAAAGGGATATTCTGGGGGAAAAAATTGACAGATTTTTGTCTGGGAGTAAGGGGGAAGTGGGAGAAGGGTGAGGGAATTGGGAGTAGAGGGGAAGGGAAGTGGGAGTTGGGGGTAGGTAAGTGGGAATCAGGGACCCCCTGTCCACCTCATCATTGTGGTTACTGAACAAGATCATGGCTTACTGTGCTTTTAATTACGTTGGTGTTTGAAATCTTTTTTGAAGTATAGCAGCAAGTACAAGACTGTAGAACGGTATGATGTTAAAATATTTTGAGTTTGATTTAAGTCATTTCAATAATCTTTTTTATTGTATTTTCTCTTGTGTATTCTTTGTCAGTCTACTGACCAAGGATGAAAATACTAGATGAGGATCTTCTCCTATATTGTTTAGTTTTGTGTCTGTAGTTACAATTTGATTACCATATTTCAAACGTTGAAAATCCATAAAATGTATGTTAGCATCTTAGTAAACCTGTTTAACCCCGTCAAAATATACAAGCGTCCGTCCGAAGTCAGGAGCCTGTCATACAGGAGCTGTCGTTGTTTGCTGTCTGTTATATTTGTTTGTTTTTGTTTTGTTTTTGGTCGTTAACCAGGTTGTTGATTTTTTTTTCATTTGAATTGTTTTACATTTTGTCATGTCGGGGCCTTTTCACAGCTTTGTATACACTGTATACTATACAGTATGTGTTTTGCTCATTGTTGAAGGCCGTGTGGTTACCTATAGTCGATTAAATCTACGTCATTTGGACTCTGTAGGATAGTTGTCTCATAAGCAATTATATCACATATCCTTATTTTATATAAGTCAATGTGCATGAAGCATTCTTTTGATCAGGTTATTACAGGGGACCACAGCTTCGTTCAAGAACGAGAGGTTATAAACTTTCTGAAAAGACCAAAATATGGTCCACCATCGAAAATGAATTGGAAAGAGTGTTACCAGGTATATAATTAAAGTCATATAGTAAAAAATTGTGTAAACGGGACAAATCTGATAAAAATCATTCGATTCTCTTTTTAATAAATAAATATGTAATGGGTGCATCATCTTCGAAATAATTTAGAAATTAGTAAATGGATTAATAATACGTCAATTTTTAGGGTCAGTAATGAACTCCAAGTACTTTCAAAGCGTTTTGTGTTCGTACTTGCCGACAAAGAAGCCAAGTATGTGGCAGTGGTATGACGTCAAAACTATACGGAATATCTTGAGAAGGAAATAATAAGTTCCTCTACATTCAAGGCCGGGCGTTCCACCGATTCAAAGAAGACAGTCATATCAGTACAACAACTCTCTCTTTATAGGCCTCCTCTGAACATTTGAAGGTTCCTATACTATATATTGGCTTCCTCGTCAACCAAAATTTAGGGAGGTCAATGATGATACATGGACTGTTACTTGAGTGATTATACAACCAACAGAGACCTTTAACAAGAAGCCGAGACATGACAGAAATCAGCGACTGTAGTTTTTTTTTTTATATATATATACCTTCTTGAGACTATAGGTTTCGCTTTGTTCCGTTTCTTTTAATTTATACATATATCTTCCTGAGACAGTAGGTTTCGCATTGTTATGTGTTTTTTTAATTTATACATATATCTTTCTGAGACTGTAGGTTTCGCTTTGTTCCGTTTCTTTTAATCTATACATCTATCTTCCTGAGACTGTATAGGTTTCGCTTTGTTATGTAATCTTTTAATTTATACATATATCTACCTGAGACTGTAGGTTTCGCTTCGTTCCGTTTCTTTTAATCTATACATCTATCTTCCTGAGACTGTATAGGTTTCGCTTTGTTCCGTTTCTTTTAAATTATGCATATATCTTCCTGAGACTGTATAGGTTTCGCTTTGTTCTGTAATCTTTTAATTTATACATATATCTACCTTAGACTGTAGGTTTCGCTTTGTTCCTTTTTTTATAATTCGCGCACATATCTTCCTGAGACTGTAGTTTTCGCTTTGTTCCGTTTCTTTTAATTTATGCATATATCTTCCTGGGACTGTCGGTTAATTTCGCTTTGTTCCATTTCTTTTAATTCGTGCACATATCTTCCTGAGACTGTAATTTTCGCTTTGTTCCTTTTCTTTTAATGTACGCATATATATCGTCCAGAGATTGTATGACAAAGTTTCGCTTTGTTTTAACTTATACGTGTATCTTCCAGGCACTATGGGTTTCGCTGTCCAATAAACTTATCTTCAAATGACTGAATTTCGTTTGTTCCACCTCGGGTGGTATCTTAGAATTTAAAGCCGTACTTTCCCACTGATTTACTTAAAAATTAAAAAAGATTATAATGAAAAGAAATGCTGTACATATACGGCTGATAAGAAACATTGACAAACAAACAATCTATATTTTTAAATTAGCTTGCTTACCCAAGTTTGTGTTTTTTTACATTCATGAATATATGAAATTTCAAAAGCGTTTATTGGTAAATGGCATTGATTCCAGTGAAACAGACTTTGTTCATCTTACTTATATTGTAAAACATCCTTATTATCGAAAATCTTAAACCGTCGTAAAGATGTTTATTCAGTACCGTGACTTTTCTAGGGTCAAACCTGTGTTTTCTAATCTTGTCCGTGATTCTGATATTCTTTGAAACTAATAATTCTCGATTTGAGAATAATCTCTAAACAAGCGAACTTGAATAGACCTGATAAACTTTGATTCTTCGTCTGTCATATAACCTTTGTTTGCATATTTAGTTTGTCATAGGCTACTCTTTCGGAAATTATTTTTCCTTAATCTGACAATTTCTTATAATCTACGGGTACCTTTCCACCAGGATGATTCACGTGTATCCTTTTTGGTGGATATACTGTAACGCAGATTAAAAACAAGACTTCAAGTTTTCCCGGGCACAAATTCATATAATCAATGAAATTGCAGTACCATTGCGAGATATACTCATAAAAAGCCAGTCTAAAACAAGACGGATCCATCAACACACAAACAGCTAGACAACTTCAATGCGACACAGATAGTTTTAAATTCTCATTCTTTTGCCAAACAATTAAAGATTGGAATAAACTATGCCACTCGAAATTTCAAGCCAAAATTCCACTGACAACTTTAGGATGCACTCACTCACGAATCCTCCTTATAACTTTCTCTCAACTAATTAAACTAATTGTTAAATATAAATTGTTAAATTTCTAAATAAAAGAAAAAATGTTATTAACTTTAAAGCAACCCCACATGTAGGCATGTGCTGGAAAGTAATCTTCAAAAAGATGATGGTTTTTCGTACCTTAAGAAGAAGAAATATATGCATAATGTAAATTATAGTTACATGCACTACTGTAAATATCATTCATTTACGTTTTTTACAGTTTTGTATAGTTTTAAGACGCCAATAGATAAGGACCATTAAAATAAAACGGTAATCAGACTTATAAACCAATAATTAAAGGCTTTTAATAGTGTGACATAGGTGCTCCGATAACGGAGAAGTTTACTACGAGAAGAAGAAGAGGGGCTTATAAAATAAGAATATGTAAATGCATTTGCTTTTATTTTGAATTACATACAATTTTATTATTAACCATACTTTTTTATGTTTTTTTGTATGCAGCTGGCAATAATAGGGATGTGTCTCGAGAATAACCTCCCCTTGTCCATATTCGGAATACACGAATTGCATTCTGGGATTGTTGCCCGATATTCGCCATGTTGAATTTGATAGACGGACACCCGTCAAACTACTATTTCATATTTTGATAGTCTTTTAGCATATTTGATACATTTGAAACAATAGTTTTGTAGTAACGTGCATATAACTTTCCTAGATATGAGTGCTGCCGACGACAAAAAGGCGAAGCGTCGAAAAATCAAGAAAAGTCTTGTTGCCAAGAATCTCCCCCGGTCGTCGACTTTTCAAAATGGGACGGAAGCGTCAAACTTGTCCAATTCACCTTCAGAAACTATTCTGTCTCCAGCAATAGATAGTGAGGTATTCAAAATAGAACGATATATCAATGCATATTATGCTTTTAATGGTATTAGTGACAAAGTTGATCATGTGACTGAAGCGAAATATTTTAGGAATGTCTCCAAACAAAAAGTCTCCAAGAGTTGGTCCAGGACAAGTGATCCTGGTGAAAGTTTTATCGATTGCATATTTGTTTTAAAGTTTGCCCAATCATTTACATTATTCTAAACTGAAAAAAATTCCATCAAAAGTAAATGATATCTGAGGATTGCTTGACAGCATAGCACTACATGTTCTTTGTCATGTTTGTACTGACTTTTTACCCTGTCATTCGTGTTACCCCATGTTGCAGGCTGTTGCCTGAACATGATATGAGATATGGTATAGCATTAAATATTTCGTTGAAGATATGAATTATCTGTCATAAACTTTGTTTGTTCTGAATTATTTGAAATATGAAGATAACAATTTATAATTAGATCTAAGAGAAATCTTATTTATCTGCATTGTTTTTAAGATTTGTCTGGTTCAAGTTCATTGTGCATTTTACAGAAATGTTTCATATTGTGTCCTGACTCCTGGACCCGGTTGACAGAAAGCACCTTTTGTTTGAAAAGAAGCGTTGATCGTAAATTATTTGATTACTGTTGAGAAATACATTATCTTACTAAAAGATGTTTAATTTTGCTGCATCAATTTGTTTATTTACATAGAAGATGACAGGACAAAAAAATGTGCATTGGAAAATGTCTGATAGGTAGTCAATATAAACCCAGGGATCTCCATGACCTGTTTTATGATGGCGCACTGCCAATATTATTAAAATATCTTCCGCCATCATCAATTGATCCCCACCATGGCTAAATTATCTGTCATTGTCAAAATTTGTTTTCATTTCACTAGCCGCCGCCATTTTTTGTTAGCAATTATAACCAATTGCATGTAATTGCATAACCCTTATTGAATTATAATCCAAAGGGTCCTTCCTGATTACAGTTTTAAAGCCCTGGGGGATATCCGGCTAAAGATCGCTAGTCACTTGTACAGGTAGATGGATACACCTGACACTTGATGAAGATAGACAATTGATTGCATTATTAAATAACGTTTCAGCAAGTGCTACTGAAAATTTAAAATGAAAAAACAGTCGAACACATGCTTTTATATTGACTTACGCAATCAGCATCCCCCTTTCTAAACGATTACAAAATAAGACATAAAACTGAACATAATTTCATGCCAAATAACACGAGTACAGCAATTATCGATAATATTGAATCACTTTACTAGTTTTAAAGTAAATACATGAATATTAACTGCAACTTGATAATCTAAAGAAATTTCATATTGTAATTCCGAATTCATTTCGTAGTTTACAATCAAATTAATACATCCGGTTTTTAGTTGTAAACGTTTGCCCTCTAAATCTCTCTTCAACCTTTTACAAAACTTCTTGTTGTTGATGCTGCAAATCATGGAATTTTAAGTCCTAAATAATTACTAAAATAGCAAGAAAACAACATGGGAACCTGAAAGACAGCTTGTGGTCATTCTTGACTAAGAGGGAGCCATGCAGGCTTGACATTGAAATTGTTACAGATGACAATTAATGAAAATATTGGTTATTCTATAATGAAATAAATATAATAAGCAATATATCAGTCTGTTCACCATTCCTCATGCCACACTGTAGACGGGAGATTTTGTCATGGTGAAAAATCCTCAATCATTAATTTCATCTATGGAGATCCTTGTTAAACCTTGATGCAAAAAAAAGGGGAAGGACTGTAAAAGTAATAATCAGTTTTTGATTACTAAGGGTCGTAGAAAACGAAGAATATGTTGTATCCAACATTTAATGACCTTTCGAATCTGGTGTTAAACAGGGAATCATACATTTAGACAAAACTATTCATTGGTTAAAATTTTAACTGAGACCCGAAGCAAGGTTAAATCTGAACCATTTAGCCAAGGATTTAACAAAGGGTTAGATTTAACCACAGGACGAACAACAGAAAATAACTTCGGGTTAAATTTTAACCTAGGATATTTAACACTTGGTTAAAATTTAACCAAGAGATGAACAACCGGGTCCAGGATGCATGATTTTCTGTCTTGACACGTCATATCAAAACTGAGATGCCCTTGGGATGCATCCTGGTTACATTATCTGAGTCTTATTATCATAGATACTATCCTATAGCTTTTAAAAAAACTTGAAACCATTCTTCTTGTCAATTTATTTACCAGTAATGACTTCCGTTTTCATGCATTGCTTGCAGTAAAGGTAAAAAATACATTTGTTAAATAGAAAATATGAATATAAGAAGATATGGTATGAGTTGTTTGTCATTTGAACAAGGTTACTCTGAAGCCAGAAGGGCAAGAATGTTAACAACAACAGGGTATAGTATAGCCTTCAACAATGAGAAAATCCATACTGTATGGGTTTGGAATAGGAAGAGTACAATGATTTGGTTGTTTGTATACATGAATATATACTATTGTAGAGTACGAAGACTAAGGTACATGTATTTTATTGTGACATGTGTGATGTACATGTAAGTTTACATAGACAGGGAGAAGATATTTTTGATGTATGTTTTAATTTGTATTAATAAAGCATATTGTTTAATATTCTGTATTTTTTTTATGAAAGTCTTATTATGTAGGAAACAGTAACTGTGTGAAATAACTTGTACTATATTACTTGTAATGATTGTAGTCTGAAACATATTCATAATTGAAGCAAATAAGTTTTAATTAACATTTAATTAAGTAAAGTTAGAACAATTACAATATTATGATTTTCTTGAAATATTGAATTACTGTCATTTGAATATTTGATAAACTATTTGAAGTTCATGTTATAATTTACCAGTTCATAGTAATAATCCACTGAATGTCTTGTATTTTTGTGATGATCCAATTGTAGCAACTGTAGTAGATAGTAGTAAATATCGTAGTAAATCCACGCACCTTGCTTGAATTTTATGAATGAAATGTACTGACATGCGCAGTGGAACCCATGTGTCACTTGGGACGATTTTTCAATAAAAACACTATTTTTACGTTTCGGCAACTGTTTTCAAATACTCTTTGTAATTCCTTTTAGTATTTGTAGTCAACGTCTTCAATGTTTTGCAGATGTTAATGCTCACTATCCTTGATATTTGTCATTTTGGTTAGCCGGTGACACACATAACTTTTGGCAATGTTGTTTACGTATTGTGACTTCCGGTGAAGTTTTATTGGTGTATTTTTAGCTACTATAGAAATTTGTTTAGTACCATGCAAAATTTGTTTATTATATGACTGTTACTAAAATTGTATATTATTATGATTTTTGTAATTTATTTGAGATTTCAAATATTTCGTTGGACAGCAAGCGCGCGATCCAACAATTTTCCAACTTTACCAACAATCCAACATTGACGTAATTTCGACGCTTGTTCGTCAGTTCTGCTTAAATCTTTGGTCGTTACAGTTAGTATTTTATTTCGCTCATCAGTAATTATTGTCAAAATGGTTAATTTTTCTCACAAACTTCATTTTTTTTGGGGTTAAATTGTAAAGGAAAATAGTAAATTTAGCGTTTTCTAAGTTAAAAGGAATATTTCAGTTTTTGCGGACTCTTAGGAGCCGGACTCCTACATTTTTGATCTATTGCTTAAAGTAGTTTATTCTTTTGGTAAATTTCGGAAAGTTCTTTAAATTGTTTTAGAATATCTTTTAAGTTAATTATCGTATTATTGCTGGCAAAGCTTTATTTCTAGTTTATCTTTTAAAGTTAGGATTATTGAAATTGTTCATTGTATTTCATGTTACTGTTAACGTTTGTCTTATTTTTTTAATAAATACAATTAAATAGGAAAACATTTGGCAATTAAGGGATAATTTCCTAAAGGTCTGGAAATTATAATAAACAAAACAGTTTATGTAAGGTATAAACTGTATTTCATTGTTAGTTTTTATTCAGGAAATGTTCTGAATATAACTAATAGTAATAAACATTTTTTTATGTAACTGGTGAGGTATCAGTTATTACTATAACCAAAAATGTCAGAAAAAGGTATTCTGACTAAATTCACTTGAAATTAGTATTTTCTGTAAGGGTAATTTATTTTCTTGGTAATATAGCAGGACTCAGCCTTTTATGTATTTTTCTAACATACCAACATACAATTATATTGGTAATAGCAAGTGTTATATTTTTTTTTAGAATTGCACGGACAAAGTTATCCTGCAATCATGAAGATTTTATTAATCATCTCTTGAGTGTAGAGATAAATTATTACATGTATACTGAATAGATTCTTGTCATATCATTTAAGAGTCTATAATTTAATTATCTTACTACTTAAAATTGTTGTTTATCCTGAATATTAATGAAAATCTCTGATTCTCAAAAATGAATAAAATATAGAAACTTATATATGTTACTTTTAACAAATGCCTATATTATACTGACCAGATCATATCTTGTCATACTGACTTAGCAATTTCCAAAACACTCATAATTTTGAGTAAAACTTTTGGGTCAAGCATTTCAAGCCCCTGCCCGCTACACTATATTAATCAGACTTACTTGAGGAAGTAATTATAAACATAACCAAATAAGAAAGGTCAGGTAGAAACTCTTGGAGTTACAAATGTATTGTCCTTTGGACTCATCAGAATGACAGAATCACTGGAACTCAAAATACCATTGTGAGAACTCTGTATAGACTCAATAAATGATATTGTCAACCTTTTGTAGACTTAAGTGATATTGTTGTTCTGTTGTAGACTTAAGTAACATTGTTGTTATGTTGTAGACCTAAGTGATATTGTTGTTCTGTTGTAGTTGTTATGTTGTAGACTTAAGTGACATTGTTGTTCTGATGTAGACTTAAGTAACATAGTTGTTCTGTTGTAGACTTAAGTGACATTGTTGTTATGTTGTTGACTTAAGTGATATTGTTGTTCTGTTGTAGACTTAAGTAACATTGTTGTTATGTTGTAGACTTAAGTGACATTGTTGTTATGTTGTAGACTTAAGTCATATTGTTGTTCTGTTGTAGACTTAAGTGACATTGTTGTTCTGTTGTAGACTTAAGTGATATTGTTGTTCTGTTGTAGACTTAAGTGACATTGTTGTTCTGTTGTAGACTTAAGTGATATTGTTGTTCTGTTGTAGACTTAAGTGACATTGTTGTTCTGTTGTAGACTTAAGTGACATTGTTGTTATGTTGTAGACTTAAGTAACATTGTTGTTCTGTTGTAGACTTAAGTAACATTGTTGTTATGTTGTAGACATTGAGAAGATTGGAGAAATTGATGGATGCAAGTGATGATGCAGATTCTTTAGAACTGTTATCTCTGTCACGTGGACCTAACCCTTACCTAGATAAGGAGAGATGTTTGTTGTGTGGCTGCGAAAGACAAGATCCTCCTGAAGCTGCTGCATATAAAATGGGTAAATAAAATAAGATACATTCAATTCTAGCATTAATGACATTGATGTTGAATATTTGATTATTGTTATTATTTGATCCTTGGTATTGTTAAAGAATTGAAGGCATATTTTGTAATATTAACGACATATTAATGGAAGTATTGAAGCACGCTATGCATGAAGGTGCTTGACAGAAATTAAACAACTTCCTCAGATTCTTCTACTAACATGAAGTTCTTTCACCTGCTTTTTTGATTTTCCCATACCAAAGAATTCACCACAAATTTTACATTTATTATATGTAGGTGGCAGGCTATACAAAAAGAAAGACTCCCACATTTTGTATAATGTTGATTTACAACATGTTTCATGTATATAACACAACAAATATATTATTCTAAAAGAACATTGAAGGGAAATAAAACAAGATTATTGCATTATAATTTATCATGTTCAGTAACTCGGTGTTATTGTTTTTTTTTTCTTATAGAAAATTCTGATTGTGAGAAGAGGGCAGTTGAAACAAACTTATTAACACAGGTATTTACAATGTAGCTCGTATATTTGTAATGTTAAATTGGGTGTAATGCTTATTGGTCTTTATTAAGAAAGTAGTTTACATAGCAAATATTCAGTAAATTTGAACAATAAATATTTTCTGTATTGAAGCTTTTAAAAAATGCATGCAGATTTCTTGCATGAAAAAATAAGTTTTGTTTGAATTTCATTTTTTACAGCTTCCATTATGGGTTTGTCCAGAATGTCGAAAGTCAACTGACCAAGAAATGGAGAAAAAGATGTCTTCGAATATTACAGGATTTATGGTAAACACATATCTATAGTTTTTAGCTCACCTGGCCCGAAGGGCCAAGTGAGCTTTTCTCATCACTTGGCGTCCGGCGTCGTCCGTCGTCGGCGTTAACTTTTTACATTTTGAACTTCTTCTAGAGAACCACTGTATGGAATGAAACCAAACATGGCATGAATGTTCCTTATGAGGTGCTGACCAAGTGTTGTTACTTTGTAGCCGATCCATCATCCAAGATGGCCGCCAGCGGGGGACTTAGTTTAACATAGGACCCTATGGGAAATGCATACAAATGACTTCTTTTAGAGAACCACTGAATGGAATGAAACCAAACATGGCATGAATGTTCCTTATGAGGTGCTGACCAAGTGTTGTTACTTTGTAGCCGATCCATCATCCAAGATGGCCGCCAGCGGGGGACTTAGTTTAACATAGGACCCTATGGGAAATGCATACAAATGACTTCTTTTAGAGAACCACTGAATGGAATGAAACCAAACATGGCATGAATGTTCCTTATGAGGTGCTGACCAAGTGTTGTTACTTTGTAGCTGATCCATCATCCAAGATGGCCGCCATCGGGGAACTTAGTTTAACATAGGACCCTATGGGAAATACATACAAATGTCTTCTTTTAGAGAACCACTGAATGGAATGAAACCAAACATGGCATGAATGTTCCTTATGAGGTACTGACCAAGTGTTGTTACTTTGTAGCCGATCCATCATCAAAGATGGCCGCCAGCAGGGGACTTAGTTTAACATAGGACCCTATGGGAAATGCATACAAATGACTTCTTTTAGAGAACCACTGAATGGAATGAAACAAAACATGGCATGAATGTTCCTTATGAGGTGCTGACCAAGTGTTGTTACTTTGTAGCCGATCCATCATCCAAGATGGCCGCCAGCGGGGGACTTAGTTTAACATAGGACCCTATGGGAAATGCATACAAATGACTTCTTTTAGAGAACCACTGAATGGAATTGAACCAAACATGGCATGAATGTTCCTTATGAGGTGCTGACCAAGTGTTGTTACTTTGTAGCCGATCCATCATCCAAGATGGCCGCCAGCAGAGGACTTAGTTTAACATAGGACCTTATGGGAAATACATAAAAATGTCTTCTTTTAGAGAACCACTGAATGGAATGGAACCAAACATGGCATGAATGTTCCTTATGAGATGCTGACCAAGTGTTCTTACTTTCCAGTCGGTCCATCATCCAAGATGGCCGCCAGCAGGGGACTTAGTTTAACAAAGGACCCTATGGGAAATACATACAAATGTCTTCTTTTAGAGAACCACTGAATGGAATGAAACCAAACATGGCATGAATGTCCCTTATGAGGTTTTGACCAAGTGTTGTTACTTTGAAGCCGATCCATCATCCAAGATGGCCGCCAGCGGGGGACTTAGTTTAACATAGGACCCTATGGGAAATACATACAAATGTCTTCTTTTAGAGAACCACTGAATGGAATGAAACCAAACATGGCATGAATGTCCCTTATGAGGTTTTGACCAAGTGTTGTTACTTTGTAGCCGATCCATCATCCAAGATGGCCGCCAGCGGGGGACTTAGTTTAACATAGGACCCTATGGGAAATACATACAAATGTCTTCTTTTAGAGAACCACTGAATGGAATGAAACCAAACATGGCATGAATGTCCCTTAGGAGGTTTTGACCAAGTGTTGTTACTTTGTAGCCGATCCATCATCCAAGATGGCTGCCAGCTGGGGACTTAGTTTTACATAGGACCCTATGGGAAATACATACAAATGTCTTCTTTTAGAGAACCACTGAATGGAATGAAACCAAACATGGCATGAATGTTCCTTATGAGGTGCTGACCAAGTGTTGTTACTTTGCAGTCGGTCCATCATCCAAGATGGCCGACAGCAGGGGACTTAGTTTAACAAAGGACCTATGGGAAATACATACAAATGTCTTCTTTTAGCGAACCACTGAATGGAATGAAACCAAACATGGCATGAATGTTCCTTATGAGGTACTGACCAAGTGTTGTTACTTTGCAGTCGGTCCATCATCCAAGATGGCCGACAGCAGGGGACTTAGTTTAACAAAGGACCTATGGGAAATACATACAAATGTCATCTTTTAGAGAACCACTGAATGGAATGAAACCAAACATGGCATGAATCTTCCTTATGAGATGCTGACCAAGTGTTGTTACTTTGTAGCCGATCCATCATCCAAGATGGCCGACAGCGGGGGACTTAGTTTAACATAGGACCCTATGGGAAATGCATACAATTGTCTTCTTTTAGAGAACCACTGAATGGAATTGAACCAAACATGGCATGAATGTTCCTTATGAGGTGCTGACCAAGTGTTGTTACTTTGTAGCCGATCCATCATCCAAGATGGCCGCTAGGGGGGGGGGGGGGGGGGGCTTAGTTTAACATAGGACCCTATGGGAAATACATACAAATGTCTTCTTTTAGAGTACCACTGAATGGAATGAAACCAAACATGGCATGAATGTTCCTTATGAAGTGCTGACCAAGTGTTGTTACTTTGTTGCCGATTTACTGTTCAAGATGGCCACCAGGATATTTTATTAAATAACGGGACCAATATTAATCAAAATTTGGCCTCAATCATTATTTGGGTATCTGTTATGATTTTTATCTATCTTTACATGATTTCTAAAACCAAAGTAGAGTCAGGTGAGCGACACAGGCTCTTGAGAGCCTCTAGTTTTATTGCATTATACTTTTTCTTGTGCTGATTATTTAGCCTTTTCTTATGCTGGTTATTGAGCAGATTTTGCAAAAAAAATAGATGACACAAGCCAAGACATATCTTAACTAGTAAATACAATCTTGCTTTGAAGTTATACTAGGTTAGTTTACCAATTATTACTAGAAATCTATTAAGGGCGGTCCTATATAACATACAAGGGACACAACTTAGAGTGAGTGTTTTTGTACAGTGAAAGTAACGAGTAATTCTAAAATTGCCTTTATATATGGTTATCCCCATTTTTAAAATGCCTTCCCAGGGTACCATGTTGATTTTAGTGGACCAGCCCTTATTTTATACATGTATGCATGCATTGGAAATTTATTCAATTATAGGAGCTTGTATGATTACTTAACTTTGTTTATTTTTTGTAGGATCCTGATTTACCACCAGAACCATCGTCTCCTCCTTTCTTACCTGAAGCTGCTCTACGATTCAGTTCACCGCCAAACACCAGTAATGGAAGCATGTGTTCTTGTGATGCTTGTAAGGAAATGAGGTTAGTTTTAATAAATGATAAATGTAGTGTACAAATAGCAATCATTTTAAACACTCTATGCAAAGCTGGTTATTGATTTGATTTTGATAAGATAATTTTAAGACAAATATCAGAAGAAGTCTCTTTTTCTCAGATTATCATTCTTGTAATTTTGATTTGAAAATTAATAAATGATTCATGTATGTTAATTAATTGTCTTAAAGGAAAGAGTATGTAAAAAGAAATGAATGTTTATTATATGTCATCAAATTAACAATGTAGCTATGCAATAAAGCTTTGGCTTTTGTTTAAATCACTACAAGACAAAATTGACACTTTTATTAAAATTATAGAGAAATTGAAGCACAACATGATCTAGAAACACAGGAATTACAGAATTGTTGGACAGTGTTACGGAAGTTAGTGCGAGTTATGTATGGTAGACGTGAAGAAGATATTACCCCAGATAATGACACACCTAATGAAGAGGAAGCTAGGGAATTGGTAGATAGGTAGGTCTTCTGTTGAAAATTACACACCTTATGAGGAGGCTAGAAAATTGAATCGTTTGGGGTCTTCTATTGAGAATGATATACCTAACCAGGAGAAGTCTAGTGAATTGGTCAAAAGAAAGGAACACTATATAAAATGATGCACCTAGTGAGTAAGAGGATAGGAAATTAGGTAGATACATGGAGAATGAGGCACTTATTGCCACCTAAAGAGGATTGGTGAATATGGTCAAAAGACAAGTTTTCTAAATAAAAAGATGCACCTAATGCAGAGTAGGCTAGGAAATTGGTAGATAGGTAGGTTGCCTATGGAGAAAACCACACATACATTTAATAAGGATGAGCTTGGGAATTGGTTAGGTCTTCTTTTGAGAATAACACACCTAATAATGATTGATAGATAAGTAGGTATTCTACGGATGACTCAAGGTACGGTAATACTTCCATATTTATTACTCGGTTCTGGAAGGGTATTGCAAGTATTTTTTAATCCAAAATTCTGGAATATCTGTCAGTTTGAATTAGAAAAATGTCAGAATATGATCATAGTGAAACTTGACCAATTGCTGAAAGACATTTTTATAAATCTTTCTATTTTTCAGACTATGCACAAGAGACCCACACCAGTTATTTTTAAGATTAGAGTCCCAAGTGAGGGAATTTGTTATAGAGATGAAGGTGAAACTTTTAAAACAATTAAATTCAGGATACAAGACACCTCCTGAAGCTAAAGCATTCATTTCATTGTTATTAGATGAATATTGTCATTTATGTGGTGTATCAAGGAAGATGTCGGAAATATTAACAAAACTGGTAAGTCTGACAATAGACATGTAACCCAATTAATTTTGAAAAGATTTTTGTTAAAAGAAATGTCCCAAACAAAAAAACTATTCCATGGTTGTAACTTAAAGGAGTAGGTTTGATAAGGCCCTAATATGATTCCTTTTTATGAAGACGCAAATGGCACAAATTTTGATTTCCCACAGATTCAATGAAAACAGGTAAATTTTGTTTGATTTTTAGCACTGGAAACATTAGAGCACATGAATGGACAAAAAAGATCTTTTAACATGTTTGATATAACAACTTGCATATCATACTTGAATATTTAGTTTGTTGAAGCCTGCACTCTGTGTTTCCTAGGCCTAAATTAGTTGAAATCTAGAAGATTTTGTTACTTTTACCTAAATCGCTATTTATGGCCTACTTGGGGTGTGTGAATATCAATGCTTTATAATAAAATTTTGACAATAAAAGTTATATTTCACTTTCAACATGTCTTTTCATCAACTTGAAATATTTTTTATCTGGAAAGAATGAACTTAATATTTGGGCTAAATATGGCACTTACTAAACCTACTCCTTTGTATTAAATATTGCTTTATAACCTCAAAGATTTTGATTTTGAAGCAGAATTTAGTGTTTGAGTACAAAGAATAATATGTGTCTAACTCCAAACTCTTTTGAACGTTGATAATTTAAGAATTTATTTCAGAAAACTGACCATCTTGCCAAGTTTAATGTGACATGGGAGTTACATAACAAACATTTATTCCAATCAATAGCTTATACTGAACCATCTATACAGAGCAGTCTTCATTTGATAATAACACAACTAAGGTAAGAATTGATAAATATCTACACATCAATATTAACGAAAATTACACCATTCAATTTAGAAATAAAAATTTCAAATGAAATTAAATTTGATGGGCGGTGAAAGATTTTGAAATTTAGGAGAAATTTTATACGCCCGTTTACGGGACGTATTATGGTATACCTTTGTCCGTCCATCATCTACATGTCGCACAATAACTCAAAAACGCTTTAACCAATCTGCATGAAACTTTGGTGAATTGTTTATATCTATTGACGTGAGCTCCCATTCGTTTTTTATAAATTTTAGATTTTATGTTTCTGAGTTATTAGGTTTTATTCATTAAAAAAAGGTTTTTTTTCCAGTTTTGGGACAACAACTCAAAAATGCTTTCAGCAGTTTTCATAAAAGTTTGGTGAATTGTTTATATCTATTGACATAAGCTCCCTTTCGATTTTTTATAAATTTTAGATTTTACGTTTCCGAGTTATGGGATTTTATTCATAAAAAGGGGTGATTTTCCAGTTTTCGGACAATATCTTTAAAGTGCTTTGAGCAGTTTTCATGAAACTTTGTTGACTGGTTTATATCTATTAAGCTAACCTCCCTTTAGTTTTTCATAAATTTCTGAAATGACATTGAGAAGTTATTGAACTTTATTCTTTAAAAAAGCGACGGGCGTATCATGCCCTCATGGCACAGCTGTTTATTCAATATAAATTCCATGAGTTAAAATATTATTAATTTTTGAGTAAATCAAAGAGGAGCTGTCTGACATGTTCAGTGATTTTTCGTTAAAGTTTTCAATAGTCTCAGATATTATTATTTACTTTAAAATCACATGATATTTGTACTCAGCCAGTAGAAGGTTAATGTAATACAATAATTTTTTATGGCCAGCTTACTATAAAAGATGATGTTTGGCCTGTGCCTTCATCTGTCTGTCTGACATTCCCTGTCATCAAACGTATCAAGGGATCCACACCTCCACAGTACTATGCTTAATGTTAGATTGGAATTATGTACAGTAATATCAACATTCCATTATTTGAAATGTTAAAAATGCCCTAGGGAGTTGCATCATCAGCTTTAGCTAATAAAATAATTGTATTCAATATCTCAACAAGTCAATAACTTCCTTTTATGATTTTGAATTATTATACACTTTTGGAAATGCATCTTTTGTCTGATGTTCTTCAATAATACATCTGTTTCTTACTTCTTATTTTGTTCAGACACACTGGTACTTTGATAGTAAGTAGAACCAGTATATTTCTAATGAATTTTTGATATTGAAATATCAACATTTTATTACTATAAAGATCATGTCAAAGTCCCACATTTGGTCTAGCGTACTGACTCTTGAAAATTAGAACTCCGGTACATTGTTCCATGTTTATCTCTGATTTTATTTGGAAGTTGGCCCAAGCCATCCAAGTTAGAGATTTCCTTTGCACCATTCTCTGCTAGTTGTGTCATCCATTAGTGTAATGACCATCCAAGGATTGAAGCATTTTCAATTCTGTTTACATTTTGACAGTGCAATTATTGGAGTTTACCAGATGTGTAAGCCTTATTCAAAACAGACATACAAATCATTGTCCCAACTCTGTTTGAGTTATTGCCCTTTGACCAGTTTTAAGGCAGTCAACTTTAAACACCATGGATTTTCTAGACATTCCATTTAATTTTTATTGGCAATAATAGGAACCAGTGGCTGGGTTTTTGACTGACACAGACATATTTGAGTACCAGAAAATTAGCTATGTTTTACAAACTGATCACTTTCATGTGTAATTGAAATGTATATATACTGTGATTTATAACTGTTAATTAGTTCCCTACTGACGAAGTCGAAGGGGACTATAGGTTTGCACTCCGTCCGTCTGTCTGTCCATCGGTCAGTCCGGCAAATCAGTTTTCAACATTTTTTTCTTCGTGCTTGAAGATATTAATTTGATATATAGTTTACCATGACAAGTTACAGATCAAGTTCAAATTTTGTTCCGGTCTGATGATTTTGTGCAGAGTTATGGTCTTTGGACTTCGAAAATTCATGCAAGTAATCAGTTTTCCGCACTATTTTTTGTCATGTTCGAATTTTGTTCTGGTCTGATGATTTTGGACAGAGTTATGGTCCTTGGACTTTGAAAATTCAGTAGTTGTCATTTGTTGATGTGGTTCATAAATGTTTCTCGTTTCTCCCTTTTATACGACCGCAAAATTTTTTTTGGGATCGTATAATGGTATGATGTCGTCGTCGTCGTCCGAAGACACATTAGTTTCTGGACAATAACTTTAGTTTAAGTGAATGGATCTCTATAAAATTTTTTAAGAAGGTTCAATACCACAAAAGGAAGGTTGGGATTGATTTTGGGGATGATGGTCACAACCGTTTTGGAATTAGGGGCCCAAAAAAAGCATTTTTCTAGTTTCAGGATATAAACTTGTGTATAAGTATTTTGATTGCTCTGAAATTGTACCACAATGTTTAATACCACAATTAGAAGGTTGGGATTCATTTTAGGGGTTATGGGGCCAACAGTTTAGGAATTAAGGGCCAAAAGGTGGCCAAAAACAAGCATTTTTCTAGTTTCCAGACAATTACTTGTGTGTAAGTGTATGGATCTCTCTGACATTGTACCACAAGGTTCCATATAACAAAGGGTAGGCTGTGATTGAGTTTGGGGTTAATTGCCCCAAACATGTAGGAATTAGGGGCCAAAAAAGGGCCAAAAACAAGCATTTTTCTAGTTTCCAGACAATAACTTGTGTTTAAGTGTATGGATCTCTCTGAAATTGTACTACAATGTTCCATACTACAAAGGAAAGGCTGGGATTGAGTTTTGGGGTTATTGCTCCAAGGGGGGTTTCCAAAAGTTGGGGGGGAGGGATTTTTATTTCCAATTTTTTAAGGGATTTTTTTTTTTTTCAAATTTTTTGAATTTTTGAAAAGTTTCAAGAAGAAATCTTCAATTGCACAGTATTGTGCAATAGATTTGTAAGATCTTTGACCACATTTATTTTGTGTCAGAAACCTATATTATGTCAAAAATTTGATCACAATCCAAATTCAGACAGTATCAAGCTTGAATATTGTGTCCAAATTTGCCCAAACTGTTCAGGGTTCGACCTCTGCAGTCGTATCAGGCTGAGCTCAGCGAAGCATTTTATTTATATAGATTAGACCATTGGTTTTCCCGTTTGAATGGTTTTACACTAATAATTTTTGGGGCCCTTTATAGCTTACTGTTCGGTGTGAGCCAAGGCTCCGTGTTGAAGACCATACTGTGACCTATAATGGTTTACTTTTATAAATTTTGACTTGGATGGAGAGTTGTCTCATTGGCACTCATACCACATCTTCTTATATCTAAGTAATCAGTTTTCTGCACTTCTTTTTGTCATGCTTGAAGACATTGATTTAATATTTGGAATATAGTTTTACCATGACCAGTTGCTGATCAAATTTCGAATTTTAATTGGTTCAAATGATTTTTTTGCTGAGTTATGGTCCTCAGACTTAAAAAATTCACACAAATAATCAGTTTTCCACACTTTTTTTCGTCATGCTTGAAGATATTAATTTGATATTTGTTTTATAGTTTACACCATGACAAGTTATAGATCAAGCTAGCATTTTGTTCCAGTACAATGAACTTTTAACCGGTAGGGGACTATGTATTGCCATGCAATACTCTCAGATTGCTTGTTCATTTAAGAAATAAACAGGGTTTTCCCTGGGTCAATTTTCTTTTTCGCAACCTCTTTCGCCGCCAAATAACATAAAAATATTTTTCGTTTAAAATTTTCCTTCTTGCTAACAAAAAAATTCAGTTTGCAGCATTGTTGTCTAATCTATTATAATTCTACATATCTATTTTTAAGTTAACATTGTAATAAATAAACACTCAATAACAACAAACATTTTCATTTTTAAAGATGTACTGTTAATTGCAATATAAATCATCAAATTATTAAATTTAATTTCTGGGAACACAGGATTCATCTTCAATGAGTTTATCGGATACTTCCCGACTAGTTGATGGATACATAATAAAGTCAGAGATTTTTCTTACTATTGAACATTTTTCTTCATTGCAACATTTTTTTTCTGGACCTTCGTTAAAAAAAGTTGAGACATAAAACTTTGCTTCAAACACTTACGTCGCTAAAATAAATTTAAAGTACCCACTTCAAAACAATTATTTCTAACAAAAATGTAAACAAATCCTTAAGGTGACATGCGATGCCATTTAACCTCACAATTTCACTAAACAAGACAATCAACACCTTTATTGATTAGTCCATTGCTGCCGATAGCTATAAATCAATCAGCTGGTTATTGATTTTCCTTCAAAATCATAACGAGTGACGAGTTCAAGGTGTAATCTTAGTATTGTCTGAGAAACCCAGAAAAAATAAGCAAGATGGACGAAGTCCAAACGTTATATTTCTATCGCCAATAATCAATTTTTATTTTTTCGCAAAATGCGAAAATGGTGGCTGCCAGCATAAACCCTTAAATAAATCAATATGTCATGAGTAAAAATATCCTATTAATATACTGTATTCAAAATGTATTGTAACATGCTTATTTATTCTAGGATGGGTGCTGCATCGAAAGAATCTTATAATGAAGATACCTACCCTAATTTGTTACATAGATATCTCAAGTTTGATGATGAAATGTCAGTGATATCTGTTGTATGGAGGGATAGTCAACAGTTGATAGAACAATATAATGAAGAACAGGTAAGACGTACAAGCCATTTTATTTATTTTTGGGCAATCCTGAATCTTCAGGCCTTTTTATGCAGCAGAGGGGGCACTATGTTTTATCTTGTCCGTCTATGTCCTTCCTTACGTCCCAAAATTAGTTTCTGTTCTTTAACTTTAGTTTCCCTCAACCAAATGTTATGAAACTTATTTATATTCAATGCTTATTACCACCAAACACAGATCAAGTTTGAAAATGGGTGGTGTCACCTTTGCTGTTCTCAACTTATGTTGCTTTATAAATGGAAAAATTGGATTTGCAGTTTCCACACTCTTAATTTTACTTTGCCACAACCAAATGTTCTGAAACATATATACACTGCTTATTACCACCAAACACAGATCAAGTTTGAATATGGTTGACGTCACTTTTGCTGTTTTCGAGTTTTTATACGACCGCAAAAATTGAAAATTTTTTGGTCGTATATTGGTATGACGTTGGCGTCGTCGTCGTCGTCGTCGTCGTCGTCTGGCGTCGTCCGAAGACACATTGGTTTTCGCACTCTAACTTTAGTTTAAGTGAATGGATCTCCATGAAATTTTACCATAAGGTTCAATACCATGAAAGGAAGGTTGGGATTGATTTTGGGGGTTATGGTACCAACAGTTAAGGAATTAGGGGCCAAAAAGGGGCCAACAATAAGCATTTTTGTAACTTCCAGACAATAAATTGTGTGTAAGTGTATGGATCTCTCTGACATTGTACCACAAGGTTCCATATCACAAAGGGAAGGCTGTAATTGATTTTGGGGGTAATTGCCTCAAAATGTTAGGAATTAGGGGCCAAAAAAGGGGCAAAAAACAAGCATTTTTCTAGTTTCATGACAATAACTTGTGTGTAAGTGTTTGGATATTTCTGAAATTGTACTACAAGGTTCCATATCACAAAGGGAAAGCTGGAATTGAGTTTGGGGGTAATTGCCCGAAATGTTTAGGAATTGGGGTCCAAAAAGGGGCCAAAAATAAGCATTTTTCTAGTTTCCAGACAATAACTTGTGTTCAAGTGTATGGATCTCTCTGAAATTGTACTGCAAGGTACCATACCACAAAGGGAAGGCTGAGATTGAGTTTGGGGGTGATGAATCATAAGGGGGTTCAAAAAATTTTGGGGGGGGATTTTTTTTTTTCTTTTTTTTTTTCTTTTTTTCCTTTTTTTTTTCTTTTAAAATTTTCCATTTTAAGTTGGTTATTTCTGATTAATATTTAAAAGCAAATAATAATGATATGGTAGGAGATACACACCAAACAGGATGTGTAAATTATTATATAATAAGTATTGTGCAATAGCAAGAAATTTTCAATTGCACAGTATTGCGCAATAGCAAGAAATCTTCAATTGCACAGTATTGCACAATAGCAAGAAATCTTCAATTGCACAGTATTGCGCAATAGCAAGAAATCTTCAATTGCACAGTATTGCGCAATAGCAAGAAATATCCAATAGCACAATATTGCGCAATAGCAAGAAATTGTCAATTGTACAGTATTGTGCAATAGCAAGAAATAATCAATTGCACAGTATTGTGCAAAAGAAGATACTTCGTATAAATTGCTTATTTCTTGATCAATTTCAATGGGGTTTTATTCTTGAATTCTTGGGGTTCTTTAATATGCTGAATCTAACCGTGTATTAAGTTTTTGGATTTTGGGCCCCGTTTTTAAATTGGTCCACATTGAGGTCCAAAGAGTCCAAAATTTAACTTTGTTTGATTTCATCAAAAATTGAATTATTGGGGTTCTTTGATATGCCGAATCTAACCGTGTATTTAGATTCTTAATTTTTGGTTCTGTTTTCAAATTGGTCTACATAAAGGTCCAAAGGGTCCAAAATTAAACTTAGTTTGATTTCAACAAAAATTGAATATATGGGGTTCTTTGATATGCTGAATCTAACCATGTATTTAGATTTTTGATTATGGGCCCAGTTTTCAAGTTGGTCCAAATCGGGGTCCAAAATTAAACTTTGTTTGATTTCAACAAAAATGAATATATGGGGTTCTTTGATATGCTGAATCTAACAGTGTATTTAGATTTTTGATTGTTGGGCTCCGTTATCAACTTTGTCCACATTGAGATCAAAAGGGTCCAAAATTAAACTTTGTTTGATTTCATCAAAAATTGAATATATGGGGTTCTTTGATATGCTGAATCTAACCATGTATTTAGATTTTTGATTATGGGCCCAGTTTTCAAGTTGGTCCAAATCGGGGTCCAAAATTAAACTTTGTTTGATTTCAACAAAAATTGAATATATGGGGTTCTTTGATATGCTGAATCTAACGATGTATTTAGATTTTTGATTATGGGCCCAGTTTTTAAATTGGTCCACATTGAAGTCCAAAGGGTCCAAAATTTAACTTTGTTTGATTTCATCAAAAATTGAATTATTGGGGTTCTTTGATATGCCGAATCTAACCGTGTATTTAGATTCTTAATTTTTGGTTCCGTTTTCAAATTGGTCTACATAAAGGTCCAAAGGGTCCAAAATTAAACTTAGTTTGATTTTAACAAAAATTGAATTTTTAGGGTTCTTTGATATGCTGAATCTAAACATGTATTTAGATTTTTGATTATGGGCCCAGTTTTCAAGTTGGTCCAAATCGGGGTCCAAAATTAAACTTTGTTTGATTTCAACAAAAATTGAATATATGGGGTTCTTTGATATGCTGAATCTAACCATGTATTTAGATTTTTGATTTTTGGGCCCTGTTATCATTTTTGTCCACATTGAGATCAAAAGGGTCCAAAATTAAACTTTGTTTGATTTCATCAAAAATTGAATTCTTGGGGACCTTTGATATGCTGAATCTAACCATGTATTTAGATTTTGGATATTGGACCATAATAGGTGAATGTCCAATTTAAAATTTTTAAGTTCTTAGACCACATTCATTCTGTGTCAGAAACCTATGCTGTGTCAAATATTTAATCACAATCCAAATTCAGAGCTGTATCAAGCTTGAATGTTGTGTCCATACTTGCCCCAACTGTTCAGGGTTCGACCTCTGCGGTCGTATCAAGCTGCGCCCTGCGGAGCATTTTATTTATATTTATAAATGGAAAAATTGTCAAATTTCCAGTTTCCACACTATAACTTTACTTTGCCATAACCAAGCTGAATTAGTACATTGACTCATGAATATTTACAAGCGGGGGATCTGTGGACACATTCTTCTTTTATTTAGAACCCAAACCACCCATAATATTAAGTTTTCATTTTATAATTCTAACAGATTTCTAAAAAAAAATGTGACCACCCACAATTTTTTAATTTGGGTGTCTCCCATCTGTTAAAATCTGGAACAGCCCTTGATGAATTTTATCAGAGGATATTATTCAAAAATAATCTAAAGTTGGCATTTGAAAGACGAAGACAATTTTATCTTCCTTTAAATATTGATGAAAAATAACAATTATGCTTAAAAGGTAGATTCTGTAAAACAAACCGTATTTTAGGATTCTTTGATAAAAACAATTGCAACAACAGTTAATTGTGTTATATCTTATTTTAAACCCAGTTTATGTTAAACACTACATCTGACATTATCTTATTTTAAAGTGATTGTCTCATTTGTTTGATACTTTGTCAGGCATGTCAGGGGAAGCCAATTGCAAAGTAAAACACTATCAGTAATATACTGTGAATTTGATGACTAAAACTCAAATTTATTAACGGAAGGCTTGAAATATGCATGTCAGAATAGAAATGTGAGTTTTAAATAATAATATCTGATCACAATGGCGCTTTATACATTTTCCCATTAATTGCAGTGTTCTCCCCAGTATTTTCAAATAGCACTGTTTCCCTAAAATTAAAGCACCACATTTAAAATACATTTTATTAATAATTCTTTACTGATGCCTCCATGGTACCGTAGTTCTAAAAGGCCCTGGAGAGTAAACTGAATTGAAAATTGCATTATTTTGTGAATTCATAGTATATTTTTCTTTGATATATAGGCTGCCTTAAAATTAAAACAGAAGATGTTAAAAGAAGATTGGGAATTTTTCAAAGCACAGCGTACTATATTAGAACAACAGGTTGCAAAGAACGACCAACCACTTCCTCCTCATAAGTAAGTTTAATTTAGTTTACTTATAAACATTCAAATATATTGAATATTAAAAGACAGCCCCATTTGACTTTGTTGGTATATTATAGTCGTTTTACAATGTCAGACCTGTCTTATAATGTAAGTATTGTAAAAGCAAAAGCCATTGTATAATTCTTGCTAATTGGCAAAAATAAATGGAAGAAAGGAACTAATTGTCAGGGTTTGCACTTTTGATTTTTTGATCTCTTATATTTTACTTTTAGAGCAAGATACAAATAATAATATCTTATCAAATACATCTATTTTTCAATTTTTGTTTTAAACATTTTGTTAATTAACATTTGTGTATTCCTAGCTTTGAACAACAGTTTACAGAAACAATGAGGATGATGTTACAAGGCACCAAACCAAGTCAGGAAGAATGTCACTGCCCTAGATGTAATAGAAAAAGGTATACTTAATCAAGTTGGTAGAGACTTAATAACCTAAAGTCTTTTGTTTTTGTATTTGAATAATCTTCAACCTCTGAAACACAGCTTGAAGTTACTGTTATATTGCTCTTTTGAACAATTTATTCATTTATTCATGCATGTAACAAATATTTGTCTCTCTATGACAAAGTTGTGGAAATTGTAGTTGGGCCAAAAAAATGTAATATTTGTGATAAGGGCATTTTGAGGGGAACTAATGACAAGTCAATAATATTTGGTATACAATTGTTAAATTGTTACTTGTATTAGAAATAGAATTAGCACATCTTATTTCCACAGAGGTTTTTTGGCACTATCCCCTCAGTCAGTCGATTGCCCTTTAACTTATGCATGGTTTATATGCTCTGCACTATCAGTTATAGCCCAATGACTTTGAAAGTTTTGCATACAAGCTAGACACATTTCTGTGTCAACAGTTTATTACTTTACTTGAGACAATGTAACTACAGAAATAAATCTTTCTGTTAAGGTCCATTTCATAATAAATACTTGTAATATATAACTGATATTTGATACAGATAGAGTTCAATAAGAATCCACACATCTCAGTTGCAAGACTCAATTGACTTTTGAACTTTTGGAATATAAAATGATGTTTTTCAGATGTCCCTGCGATGAGTGTACTATAACACACATGATTACATGTGGTATTATAAACCCTGAAGCATTAGAAGATCAGGAGAATTCCAGTCACATAAACTTCCTGCATGATCCTAACCGGTATCGTATAGATGTTAGTCCGCCTTCTATGTCCAGCACTACATCCAGTAGTGGTTCTTCTAGTCCAATAATGGTTGACCATGAACGACTCACTCTTCCATTTGATGAGACAGGTGACAGGTATGTGGTCAAATCTAATGGGAAGCAATTGATAGTCTGTTTATTGTATGCATTTTACAAAAAAAGCAACATGGACAAAATTGTCAGTCGACTCCTTATAATAGGACTTATTTGCCCTTAAATCTCAATTTTTACCTTTTTATTTTTGCGGTCGTAGAATGGTATCACGCCGTCATCGTCGTTTGAAAACATTGGGTTTCCGGACAATAACTTTAGTATAAGTAAATAGAAATATATGAAATTTAAACACAAGGTTTATAACCACTAAAGGAAGGTTGGGATTGATTTGGGGGGTTATAGTCCTAACAGTTTAGGAATTGGGGGCCAAAAAGGGGCCCAAATAAGCATTTTTCTAGTTTCCAGACAATAACTTGTGGAACGGTGTATGGATCTCTCTGAAATTATACCACAAGTTTCCATACCACAAAAGGATGGTTAGGATTGGCTTTGGTGGGTAATGGCTCAAACCGTTTAGGAATTGGGGGGAAAAAAGGGGGAAAAACAAGGGTTTCCTTGTTAATGGACAATTACTTTTAAGTACAATGTTTTGTGTTTGGATTACCTCCCTTACACTGCTTTTAAATTATGTATAAAGAAATGTTGTATTGTCTTGAGGTGATTAGCTGTCAATTCAAATCATATAACCAATTCTAAGTTCTTTGACTACAGTTATTCTGTGTCAGAAACCTATTATGTGTCAAATATTTAATTACAATCCAAATTCAGACCTGTATCAAGCGTGAATATTGTGTCCATTTTTGCCCCAACTGTTCAGGATTGGACCTCTGCGGTCGTATCCAGCTGCGCTCGGCGAAGCAATTTATTGCCTATTATCTTGAAAATTATAATGAAAAGAGAGAGAAAATTTAAAAAAGTAAAAGAGATCATTAATACAATAACAGCAAAAAAAGCCAATTTATCATCAGCAAGACAAGATCTTAAAAGAAAGCAACATGGCCAAAATATCAGTCGATTTTAAGGAGTAATTGCCCTCAAATGACGATTTGTTTCTCATGATTTACATCACCTTGAAAACTTAATGGATATGCAGAAATTTTAAATAGCAAAAAGGATTTGCAATAGATCTATTAATATGTCAACATGGCCTTTTATTTCCTATACTTTGAGTTTTTCAATATGTTGAATAAACAGTTTTTCACCACACTTTTCTCAGAAACTACTGAACAGGATGACTACATATTTGTCACTAGCTCAACAATGATAGTTTTACCAGTAATATGTGTGGGCTGTTTCTGATCTGACAAACACCTACTATCTGTTTTCTGATACTTTCCATAATGATTGGGTATGCTAAGCACGACAATGTTGTTATTACTTGAACTTATTGTGATTTCAAAACATACTTTATTCTTTTCTTCAGAAATACAGAAGAAATCCCAGAGGAGATAGAAGGAAATAGTCAATCAGACATTGATGATGAGGAGGAAGATGATGACTATGATGATGAGGATGATGATGAAGATGAAGAGGATGATGATGAGGAGGACGAGGAGGAGGAGGATGACGATGATGGAGACAATGAAAATGAGGATGAAATAGACAATGAAGATAAAAATGATGGCTTAGAAGAACAAATTGATAATAAGAGTATTTCTGATCTGTCATCGTCATGGCCAAATGATGATGAAGGAGCAGAAGAATTAATTAACTCAGAAAAATGTGACTGTTATCACTGTGTATCACAAGCAAAAGCTGAACAAATGGTAAGTTTTAGAGAAAAAATACATAAGGGCTGTTCCAAAATTTTCCGGTGGGTGGGATGGGAGGCACTCAAATTAATTGAATATGAGTGGTTGCATTTTCCACAGAATTTTGTAAGAATTATAAGTTAAATGAACATTTTATTTTATGGGTGGTTCCGGTCCTTAAAAAATGCCTTTCATGCCCTCCATGGTTTCATTCTGGAACAGCCCTAAAACAAGACATTGAAAACCTAAAGACCCAGCAACATAAACCCCACCAAAAAACGTTGGATGAACTCAGGTACTCAACAAGGGTAAGCTGTTCATGTTTCAATAATTGAAATCATCATGATTATAATGCTCACAAAAAGTGTCAATAAGATAAGTAATATTTAAAGGTATAAAAAAGATAAGAACCGTAATATTAAATGGTATAAAAAGAAAATGGATGGGATTGTGGCTACAACTAATATAAATTATTATTCTTCATGTCAAAATGCCAGATTTTGATTGGTTAAAGGGGGGCATTAGCTGTCAAATTCATGTTCACCGATTTGACTCAAATTCTTATATTTGACTTATAACATACTAAAACTCATATCCAAATTATAAAAAGTCTAAAATAAACAATTTCGATGCATTCACTCGATAGTATATATCAGCATTTCGATTGTATTTTAGTCTAGACGCCATCTAATTAACCATCAAGGTGACCTCCAAAGGTCATATAACCCTATATATACATAAACATAGATATAAATAGGTTGCGAACTCGTGCAATTGGATTTTTCTAGGTCTGTTTGATTTCATATTATAGGTTAAAAAAATATGTTAATAATCGTTTTTTACCAGTATAAGAATGAGTTTTTCTAGATCGAACCAGTCAACCAAATGGTTTACCCTTGTTTCACTTTCAATGTTTACATTCTTTTCCATTTATTAACTAAACACGCCTAGTTCATGCGTAACCCAACTCTAGCTATAGGGATCAATTAAAATTCACATGAATACGGATTCAATGAGGTCGAATTATTCACTTGCAAGTGAATAATTCATTAGCGATGTTTCTTTGCTTAATTTGACAAACTGAACCAAACTGGCTGTTAAAAAGCGAATTATTATTTCACTAATTTACTTTCATTAATGATTGAACAAAAAAATCATATTTTATTTTTGTTTATATGTCGTAGCTAATGCCCCTTTAATACAAGGGAGATAATTTACTCTATCCCATGGCAAATACTCTATTACCCTTCACGGAGACGCTTGATCAATTGTGTGCTTTATTAAATACGGATGGTGGTTATGTACAGGACGTCAAAGTTTATTATTTTGAATTTGAAATTTAATAGACACTAATGACAGATTATTCAGTATAATAAATTAAATAACACATAGCTGAGAGAATGATAGAGCAAATTGATTACCCTAAAGTTACGAAAAGATATTGTCAACTTTGGCTTAGTTGGGGTTACAATCTGCTCTATCACCCTCTTAGCTATGTGCTATTTATATAATGTTGTACTTGATGTGATGCGTATATGATAGAGTTTGTCAACTGCATTTGGTTTACTGAGCATGCCAGTTTTCTCCAAATAAAACTGATGACTATGAAAAAAATGTGTAAATTATGAAATTAAAAAACCATTGAAATGATAAATAAAATTTTAGTGTATATTCTTGTCGGTTTATGCTCATTAACACTAAGTATACACAACAATAATAATACCATACCAGCTAAATGTCTATTTAAATGAATCAATAATTTTATAAAAATAACATTGCATAACATTAGAACATAAAATAACATGGAAATATTCTACCAACAGTGAAAAAAAACCAAATAAAGACAGAAAAAGAGTGCTTTATATTCAGCATTATATGTTTATTGCTTGATATATTACTCTATTCTAAAAGAAAATACAATTTTTCAGATAAAAGTGGAAGAAAATCAGTGTCAGTGCTATGTATGTTTGAGACAACAAGGAAAAGCTGTTTCTACATCTTTACCTCAGCAAGTAGCACCAACATCTCAACCTGGTGAACTACATTTATATCCTCACATTCATGGTTCGGCTGGTCTTCATGGCTTCAGATCACATGTTAGACCCTTATTACAACCACAACTCTATGACCTACATATGCCACTAAGACAACCAAAACCTTTAATTCAGTCACCCAAAGTTCCACTTAAACTCGATTTTGATTCACCCGATGGAATTCATGAACATATTTACCATGCTTATGGCGATTGGGACAATACATATGATTCACGGATGATGCTGTCAAACATACCAAAGTATGGTCATGGTTTGGGAAGTGAACTACTACCAGCTGCTCCGTTAACAACTAATTATACAACAAACTTTCTTACCGAGCCATTCTCTGTGTCCACACAGACAGGAATGGACACAGTCATGACATCCACATCACCCTCTACAAGTTCTTTCAGGACCACAACTAGCGTCCACACATCTTTGGCCACCACTCAGGCCAATAGTGACCAGACTGCCAGTATTACTAACAATCATCTTGCTATTTCTAGTGTACAAAGTATTTCTCAAACGCTTTCTAGTACAACTACTAATTGTAGCAAAAATAGTGCCACACCTCCTTGTACAAGGCCAGTAACTCTTGGAGGGAACATTCCGCAACAGCCTGTGCTTTCGGAGAAACTGCCTGCTCAGCCACGTAAACGCCAGAATGCAGCAAATTCTACAAATGTATCTCCTGTCAATCATTCCAATGGTGGAATATCGGATAAAGTTACTCAGGACTTCATTCAGACAGCGGCTAGAAATATACGTGAAGGTGCCAAAGAAGGAATGCAAATGATTCGTCAGTTTGCCAACAGTTTAAATGCTAATGTGAACACTCACACATGCAATCACAACTGTCGAAATTCTCAAAACGTTCAATCCTGTAATGAAGGTCCTCCCCCTGGCTGTCGTAATGCAGTAGCACTTCCCTCATCTGTGAACAACGTTAGTGTTGGAACATCCACTGTCTGTATGGAGCCTGATTGTGAAGGTCATTGTGATGAGAATGGAGACGGTATAGATGATAGTTGTTCAGAACAAAGCTCAACTAATTCCAGTCAGAAAGATGGCAAATACTGTGATTGTTGTTATTGTGAATTCTTTGGACATGGCAATGTAAGTTTAACTATTGAGTTTGAATGGCTGTTGTTTATAACTGTATTCTTAAATTTATGATTTTTCAGTGCTTGGACCAATAATTAATGTGGATTCATTCATAAAAATGTAAGGAAAATTGTATTTTTGAGGATACTTGATTTTATGGTTTTGCAATAACCTACATACAAGCCTATTGATAATTTGTACTTTATTGAACATTTAAGTTTGTTGTTAACATATAACCATGAAATCCACAAAATTGATATCCAACGAATACTAATGAACCCTCAGTATGCAAAAATTGTATCTGGATATTAGTTTGTTGATTAGAATCCATCAGTATCACAATCGACAAAAGTAAACTATTTTTATAAATAAGACATCTTTTAATTATACAGCAGTTTAAGCCTAACCATATAGATTAATTTTAATAAGAAAATTTACCAAAAAAATCCATTTCTCTGTTAGAATTACTCTATATATGTGCTAATACATATCCTGATAAATAGTTGAAGCATAGAAATGTATATATGTATTTGATCCATTTCAGCCTCCTCAGACACCAACAAGTAAGAATTATGCTGAAATGAGAGATAGACTGAGATTAAGGTTGAAGAAGAAGGTCGGTAATCAAGTAAGATATTTTTTAGTTATCTCCCTTTATTTATAACCTATTATCACATTAAATATACATGTTTACAAAAAAATTCTGTTATCAGATATTTATATACATATTTAAAATTGATAAATTTAGATTAAATGTAAGTCATTTGAGTCATCTTATAAGTTATCTATGTTCATATCTGTAGATATGGGTATTTTAACACCCTGAAGTATCCCAGTACACCCTGAGGTGAAGCTGAAGGTTGTATAGGGTACTGAAGGGAGTCAAAATACCCATATCTATGGATATGAACGTAGATAACGAATTTATCCCCTGTCTAAGTCTGAATCTGCTGATTGTTAGGAAAATTCTAGCACATAGTGTAACGTGAAAGCAACGTTTTTTTTTATTATCTAAAAATGTTTTATTGAAATTTGGAAATATGACATATTTTTTACGGGGTGTGGTAGAACCCTACAGGTAGTCAAATATAAGACGTATTTAATCCAGAAACAGAGAAACTGTTATAAATGAAATTTGGCGCTCAATGTCGCAAGTGTTACTTCAATGACGGTGTGATGTCAACATGGGTCATTTGCATAGCTATGTCAGTAGTCCGGTTCATTGACGACGTGGCAGCCAAGTGTTGCATTTACTAAAATAAATGCAAATGATCAGAATTAAAGGATAAAATCGTTAGTGGATTACATACTTAATTACAGACATCATGGATAATCTACAGAATTCAATTTTTCACTTGGAACAACCATGGAACCAAGTTCCGGGGGGGGAGTAATAGGTAGCAATGCCCGTGTATATGGGTTAGCTTGATTAAACCTTAGAACATTTGTAGAAAGGGCATTTAATATTTGCTGTGTTAATTTTTCATGTTTTACATTTGAATTTTTATTGGTTTAATTCCATGTGTCTCATATTTTGTTTTTGACCTAATCCTGGTTTTTGTCGAGCCTGCGACTTTGTCGCAGATAGCTCAATATAGGGATAGTGATCTGGCGGCAGCGTTAGCTAACTTCTTAAAAGCTTTATATTTTAGAAACTAGAATACCTGGATGCTTCATACTTTGTATATAGATGCCTTATGATATGAAGTTTCCGTCTGTCATATGTCCATTGTCCTTGACCTCATTTTCATGGTTCAGTGACTACTTGAAAAAAAAGTCAATATTTTTTGTAATGTTTATTTCTTTCTTATTATGAGTAATAGGATAACTATATTTAGTATGTGCGTACCTTGCAAGGTCCTCATGCCCGTCAGACAATTTTCAATCGACCTCAACCTCATTTCATGGATCAGTGAACAAGGTTAAGTTTTCGTGGTCAAGTCCATATATCAGATACTACAAGCAGTAGCTCTACTATATTTAGTATATGGAATGATTGTAAGGTGTACATGTCCAACTTGTAGGTGTCATCTGACCTTGACCTCATTTTCATGGTTCAGTGGTCAAAGTTCAGTTTTTTGAGTTTTGGTCTTTTTTTGTAATACTATATGCAATAGGTCAACTATATTTGGTGTATGGAAATATTTTATGATGTACATGTCAGTCTCGCAGGTTTTATTTGACCTTGACCTCATTTTCACAGTTCATTTCTTAGTGTTAAGTTTTTGTGTTTTGGTCTGTTTTTCTTCAACTATAAGCAATAGATCAACTATATTTGTTGTATTGAAGGATTGTTAGGTGTATATGTCTGTCTGACAGGTATCATCTGACCTTGACCTCATTTTCATGGTTAAGTTTGTTTCTTAGATACTATAAGCAATAGGTCAACTATATTTAATGCATACATTGATTGTAAGGTGTACATGTCTGTCTGGCATGGTTCATCTGACCTTGACCTCATTTTCATGGTTCATTGGTCAATGTTAAGTTTTCTTTGTTAAGACTGTTTCTTAGAAACTATAAGCAATAGGTCAACTATGTTTGGTTTATTGAATGATTGTAAGGTGTACATGTATTTCTCGTTTGGTTTATCTGACCTTGACTTCATTTTCTTGGATCATGTTAAGTTTATGTGTTACTTGTAGTAAAGCTTTATATTATGGACTATCAACATTAAATCAATGGTTAGTAAAGAAGGCGAGACATATCAGCGTGTGCACTCTTGTTATATATGATATGCTTAAAAATGTGGAATTTGTAATGAATGAAAAATCAAAAAGCTTACCGAAGGTTGGTGGTTCTCTCTGGTTACTCTAGCTTCTTCCACAATTAAAAACTGAAATAGCACAACAGTGTTGAAAGTGGCATTAAACACAAATTCTTTATAAAACTGTCATATTGTAATGTTTATGTTATTATTTTCACAATAAAATATTGTTTACACTAGACACAAATCAATCAATCAATCAATATTTGAAAATTGAATCACTTAAAATCAATGTGCCTCTGCACCATGCTTTGCTTACTGAAATTTTCTAAAACTATCGAGATTGTTGATTGACTTTTCAACTTGAAATTAAAAAAAATAATATGAAAAAACTAAGTCGATACAGTGTGAAAACCAATTTAAAGTGAAGTTATATATGAAGGTATATAATTTAACAGGTAAATGTAGGTGAGAAGATTTCAACTGGTAATTCAATTAGAAAAGTTATAACAAAAGTTAGGATGAAAAAAATTAAGTAGCAATAATTAAATTCTAACTTGTGTGCAGAAAATAATAATGAATCAACTAAGAATAATAAATCTAGCATGAATGGAAAAATCTTTCTTAGTAATTAATAAATTTTACTAAAATAAAAATTTCCATAATATTGGAAAAAATGAGTTTTTATCCCTATATAGGATTTAATAGGAAAGCAAATTGTATTATAAACTGAGAAAAGTCATGAACCTCATCACCCATGTATTATTATTATATAATAATTTCTATCACCTCTATCCCTCAACTTCCCTGGTAAACTCCTGTTTTGTAATTGAGGGTAAACGTGATTACCTATAAGACATCAATAGACAAGAACACCTGTCCAGGTAGATTGTAGTTGTGTGACTTACTAATTAGTGATCACCAATCAGTACACACATGTCAAATTAATTTTTTCTCAGTGTGAGCAGAAATTAACTTGTCAATAGATTTTTGATAAATACAGTGTAATGCCACATTGACCTTATCATTGATGACAGAGTTATGACAATGTTTGGTCAGATCAGTATGTCACTGCTCCCTCATTTACATAGCTTTTTCCCAAAGGATTATCAGTTCTACTTTTGGAGATGGCAACTCAAAAATTCTGTTGTAAGATATGTTGTTTCACAGGTAAATTATGTTCTCTTTCTTGAGTATTGATTAGGAGTTCAACAGTACCACTGAGTTTACATTTTTAACAACTCTGAAAATAAAGGGATTGCTAAATGAGATAACACATATTGAAAAATTTCCAATGTTGCTGAAAAATATGAATTTATGTAAAAAGATTTGTTTTACTTCACAATTGGTTTATATCAAGAAATGGTTGACTGGTTTATTCATAGAATAAAAGTATCGACATATGGAGACCTACCAATGTAAGAAATACAAGTTTTTAGAGCAGATACAAGTCAACCATTAATGAAAAATCACATGTACTCTAATAAAACTTTGCAAGAAGAGAAAAACCTAAACAAGTTTTTTATAGTGTAACTTTGCATGTCAACCCTTTTCTCTTTTTACACATTTCCTATAGTGTAACAGTTTCTAGTACTAGATTGCAACTCAGCTGGAGACACCAGTCAACTGTTTTATCTTTCTGCACCTCTCATACAGTGTTGCAGATCAGGAACATATATATTGACGGGACTTGACACTACCTGATTGTAGTCGATTTTATTGTCGTGCCATAGTTAATAAAGATACGATACAGAAACAGACATGTGTTAAAAACGGACTCGCTATTATCCTAATAATTTCTGATATTATCAATAAAATGTCATTCAAACTAGTTTTATAGTGATGCTAGTGTATCAAACTTGTATTCTGTCACTTCAAATTTGTTAAAATCGCAAGCATTTCATCACAGAATTGTGCAGAATGCAAACAAGGTAATAAAAAAAAATGGCGGCCATTGCCGCGATGATTTACAAATTCCCAAACTATTATAAAACACTTCACATCAAATAAATCAAACTTATTTTGGTAATTTTATATGACAAAATATATCTTCTAAATGATAAAACTTGTATTTATTTACAATTAGAGTTATGTGGTTTATTTGTTGAGCAGTTCTGATAGTTTTTCAGTCAGACGCTACCAAAATCCGTAAATCTCGGGAAGTCTCGGGGAGTCTGAGATTTTACCAATTTTATACTGAAAAGCGTATCAGATTCATTTCCTGTTAGATATACTGTTCCCAGTGCAGATGTAACTGCTAATGCTACTGTCACTTTAATGTTTTCTCTCACTTCACCTCTCCTATCATGTTACACTTATATTAATGATAGTGGTTTTATTTTTTAGAGTGACACCAAACATAAAGACACCTGTTCTCTGGCAGATCACCACATGATAAGGGATCAGCCACTAGAAGATAAAGGATCTGAAGAATTGGAAGAATTATTACATTATATCAATGGTACAGATAATCATAAAGAGGAGCAAGAAGATAAACAACTTAGTGCTAAAGCAGCTAAACGTGCTAGACAGAAACAAAGAAAGGTTTGTTCAGATAGCAATCAGATCTTCTCTTATTTTTCCTTCAGTTTATAAGATTATGTTTGCCTTGTGTTTATCTTCTTTTCCATTATTCTATAAACTGTCTTTATCTCATCTGGCCCAATTGCCCTGTGAGCTTTTGCGACCATGTGGTGTTCGTCTCTATTGTTGTCTGCATCATAAATTAAGGAAAAAAAGTTCTCTTCTGAATCCACTGACCAAATTTCAACTGAACTAATACTTTTGATAAGTGAATGATTCAGGCTCATTTGAGCTTATACTTATTTTTTTTTAATTCAAGTTTAAAAAAAACCAATACTTATACCATTTATTACAATATACACTCACTTGCATTGATTTGTTTATTAACATTATAGAGTTGTGATATTACGACAATATGCAGGTCAAGAATAAAAGATTATATTGGAAGAAGGAAAAATTCAATTCTAACTTATATAATTTTGAAAGAAAAAAAGAACAAAAGTCAGATCACAGTTTCAAAATATCTAGAAAACAATGACTATTGTATTGTTTTTACTATGTCAGGCATGGATTTTGTTTATATTTTTGACACATAAACTTGTGAAAACCTTGATATATAAATGTGAATGCATTTTAGGCTGAAGAAAAGGCCAGATTAGAGGCAGAGAAGCTACATCATGAGAAATTGGAAAGGGAAAAAGAACTGGCAAAAAATTTGATTAATGCTGCCAAGATTGAAGAAAGTAAAAATGAGAAGAAAAGGAGAAAGAAACGCAAACAAGTTGAAGAAATAAAGCAAGGAGAGATTAAAAATGGCTGTGATAAACGAGAGGATCCCAATTTAGTTCGGGTTCCACCATTAGGGAGAGAAGATACTGACAATAAAGTCAAAAACAATGTAAAACTTCAAGTTAAACTTTCTGATGCTCCACTAAAATCTCCTTCCACTGAGATACAGAAAACAGTTAAAATAGTCAAGACTGATCCAGTCAAAACTCAAAGAATTATAGTTGAACCACTTCAAACAAATGGAAAAGTTAATTTAAAAGCAATTAAAAAGCCAGATCTTCTGAAATCATCTCCTGTTCAGCCTAAATTACAAGTCACTAAAGGTGCCTCCCAGTCGTCTCTCAACAGTGCCAAACCTGTTCCAGAACAGACAACTAAATCATCAGCCAAGAGAAAAGACAATAAAAACGAAAAAGATGTAGATACAACAGAGAAAAGAATGGACACTGGTGATGTGAAACCAAGGAAAGGAAAATCTGTTCACAATAATAATGATATTGTCGTTAATAAAAACATTGTTCAACTAAATGGGAATAATAACAATAAAACAGTAAAGAAAACTGCAACCACTCCCACGCCTCCAAAACCGTCTTCTCCTCCACAACAAATCAAATCTAGTCCTACTAGCTCGCCATCTTCTCCTAAGAAAGCAGACACACAAAAGACAAAAGCGGTTGTTAGCCAATCGCCACCCCAGGATCAGGTTAGTATCAGTTATACATAGTTTTCATCATTGCTGTTTTTCAATTGAGAATTAAAAATTGCAATAGATTTACAAGGACTGTTATGTAGAGCATTGAACCTACGTAGAAAATTTCTATTTTAACTGAAACTTTTGCAGTTAATTCTTGTCTTCATATTTTGTATCAGTTTTTAGAGCTTTTAATCAACCAAGAAACCTAACATAGGAGGTGTGTTATGTACTTTTTTGGGCTAGAAATTGAAATGAAGTACATTTTATGGTAAAACCTTGGGATTTTTGTTTGGAAATAATTGATAAGGGTGTGCAAATTTACTTAGTTAGGTCTTTCCAATTTTCAGAGAAGAGATGTGTTTTTGATACTAACAAACATTGGGTAACATATTGAATTGGTCTATTCATTCACTTTTGTTTGAAAGCCATTTGAAAATTGTCTTCCTTCTAAGCATTTCTAAAAGAACACTTTAGAAATGGGGTTTCAATGACACCATACGTATATTTATTGTGATGTCATGGATCTTAAACTACATATACCAGTTTTTGTTTTGCATCATCTCACCTAGAAAGTGGGGATAAAAAGAAATTGATTCAAAAAAACTAAGCCAATTATGTCCCTGTCCTTCCTGTAGACTCTTCAGAACAATTATGATTTTATGATTTTAGCAGCCTAAAGGTGGGAAAAAGGGAAAGAACAAAAAGAAAAATAGGAACAGTGAAGATTTGAGTGTTATTGGTAAGTATGTAGAAACTGAGTTTACCACAGAAATTAGTTGTCAGTGCACAGTTGTATGTAGAATCAAATTATCAAATGTAATTAGTATTGAAGTATTTTATTGCCCATTTGTGTCAAACAGCAAGACACTTGTGACATATCCATCCATACCACTGATTTTGATTAAGTTTTATGATACTAGGTCTATTTCATCTTAAATATGAAACATTATTTATCAATGAATATTTTGCCTCCATAGTCCACGTGTATGGTACAGCTTTGTTTAGCAACATAAAGGTCACTATGGCCCTTTTTTTTCTCAGTTTTCTCAGTATTTAAGTGGGAGAGCATCTGTGTAAATAATGGTTCATTGGTCAAAATTAAGTTTAAGTAGTAAGGTCTGTTTCTCAGATCATGTATTTCAAAGGTCGACTATATTTGGTGAATGGAATGATTGTAAGGTGAACATGTTTGACTGGAAGGGTTCATCTGACCTTGATCTCAATTTCATGGATCATCAATAATGTTAAAGTTATGTTATATGGATATATCTGTGTAGAACCTTTATCTTAAAGACTTTCAACTTAGATTTTGATTATGATAAGAAAAGTAGGCTATACATTTCAGCCTGTTCACTTTAGTAATTCTTAATATAAAATGTTGCATGCTTATGATGTGATGAAACCCATGACCTCTGTCACTTCAGATTAACATTCATTCAAAAGATTTCTGAAAGCTTTACCATTGGGATTGGGACTTAAATAAATTCTTAAAATTTAATGTAAAATATGTCCATGGGATTATATATTTGGATACAGATTAACAAATGAACAGGTACAATGGTTTCTGTACATCATAGCACACACAGTACAATGTTTGCCGTACATCATAGCACACACAGTACAATGGTTGCCGTACATCATAGCACACACAGTACAATGGTTGCCATACATCATAGCACACACAGTACAATGGTTGCCATACATCATAGCACACACAGTACAATGTTTGCCGTACATCATAGCACACACAGTACAATGTTTGCCGTACATCATAGCACACACAGTACAATGTTTGCCGTACATCATAGCACACACAGTACAATGGTTGCCGTGCATCATAGCACACACAGTACAATGGTTGCCGTGCATCATAGCACACACAGTACAATGTTTGCCATACATCATAGCACACAAAGTGAGGAGCTTTTGTAACATATTGAAATATTTGTTTTTGTCTACCTTCTATACCAGCAGTAAAAAGAAATCTCAAAAGATGTTTGAACCAATTAATCTGGAAATTTTGTTTTGATAATTACTTCTTTTAATATTGCAGATGAAATTTTCCTTCCCAAGTCAGAATCAGACCTTGAGAATGGAGAACTGGATGAAACTGAAAAGGAACTTGAAGCCTTCAAAAGGTAATATACATTGGAATGAGTATTATTTATAAATTGTTAATTTAATGGTCTACAACATATTTAAATTGAATTTTACAACAATTAAAATGTTTTGTTCATGTAATTTAAATTTGTTTTTCATCAGTTGATACTTATCATATTAAAAAAAAAGTATAATGCAAATATTAGTAAACTGTTCAAAACTGAAAAAATATACTGTAAACCAATCATTTTTGGGATACTTTTTATGCACTTTAGCCCTTTCTAACATTAGTTTGGGCCATTTATATGCCATTCTTTTGGAGTGAGCTATTGCCACCATTTATAATTGTGTTGAAGTATTCATGCAAGCCATGATCGAAGTGCAGGTAAATAAATTGCTGGGGACAGTTGTTTAAAGTATACTAAATTTTCTTCACCATAAGCTGAAACATATGGATTTATTGCTAAAAGTTTAACATTATTATTTTAACACACATAGGTGATATCTTAACAAGAGAAAGAGAACCGTAAAGGGAAATCTGCCATTTTATTTGATTTCACACAACTCTATTTTAACTTTCAGATTTTGTTTGGATTATACACCAGTAACTAGAGAAAAACTACAAGTCAACATGAATATTAAAGACATCTTTGTCAAGAAGAAGTCTGGACTTAGCTGCACCTAATGGCATCCATGGATATGTGTAGTCCCCTGTTAACAAATTCTCAATATCTCCATATCTTTTGTTGATCTTATAGTAAAGAACTTCTGATAAAAAAAATACAACTGTGGAATTTAAGTTTTTTGGGGTTTCACAGCTGCTTTTGATACATCATCTAACATAGTGTTTGAAAATTTGTTTATATTCTTACAAAACATGAAATAAAAAGTACTGAGTGAAAATTGTGCCAATTACCAAAGAAATGTTATCAATTTGATTTAATATTGTTTAAACACCTGCAAATAGTTCGGATATTTATACAAATTCTGTTCTCTTTAAAATTAAAGAATAACTATAAGGCAAGTACCCTTATGACAAATCACAGCTTTAGAATAAAGTAATAATATTGGATATATATGTGTCATGAACTGGAGACAATCTCTAAAAGGTAAACATTTCACTGAAAGTAAAAGCTATTCAAAGACGTATAGTTAAAGATATTCGAAGACATATAGTTAAAGATATACTAAAGAGTATAGTGCTTTCATTCATTTGGTATGATTTGGTCATTAAGATCTCTTAAGATTTTTTATATATTAAAATAAGTCTCTCTTTTGGTCAATCTACCATAAATTGTAATGAATCTGGGGCGTTATTAGTTTTTGTCTCAATCCCTAGATGTCTATAGTAATGATAATCTGCTTATTTTTTTTCTTTTTATGGGTTGCTTTCTGCCTATGCAATTTAATACCTAGAAAAGACTGTCAGCAGTAGATATTCAATGTCTTTCAATATGTAACATTGTTGAATTAATTGGTTTAATGGGGAAAAGTTGACAGTTGATTGAAATAGTGTTAGTCTATTAAAATGTGTAAAATCATGTCCAGAAGTAGTTTGATTGCCTGGCACCATAAAGAAATTCTCCATTATAAACATGTGTGTTTGACTGTCTTATTTTAGAATTATTCATTCAGATATCATATTCAAGAATTGTCAACCAGTCATTTTTTAGAATTTCATAGTCATTCTTCAGAATGTTTCAATACAGCCATGCTTTATGGTGCCAGAGCTGGTCGGTCTCTTTTAACTTATTTTATTGGGTTTAATGTGTTTGAAATAACTAAATTTTCTTTTAATTTTTTGTTCAATATTGTTTTGCTGCAAAGCATTGGAATATAAAATGTATATGGAATCTTCCTACTCTATTGTTAAGTTTGCTAATGTTAATGCATGTTTGTGTGCTCCTCAATATTTGACTGTAAGCAGTGATGGGTGTATTTACATTTCTCTAAGTAATAAAGAGATTTTTGTTATTAATATATTGTTGCCTATTTACAATTGATTTTAACTTGGTGTTTTAATGAAATTTTGTTCTGGGAAATGTAAATGCACCACACCTACTGATAGTATTATAATAATATTATTTATTGATAATTAGTAGTTCTGTAAACTTTGTAGTGTACTATTTAAAAAGAAATCTATGCAATTTGTTCATCACAAACTGCTTGTTGATTTTAATGTCTGCTAATTATTTCAAGTTGCTTGTATTTTGTTTTTAAATAATTTTCTGAAATTCAGAAAAAAGAAGTTTTAATGACAAGCCAAACATTATGAAAGGAAGGCATTATGACTAATTAATGAACTATGTATTCTATTGAAGGATAATTTAAGTCAATATAACACATTATTACTATTACTCCATTATTTGTGTCCCCTGTTTTGACCTTGGGACAGGGGACATAACTGTGCTTATAATAAGCATTATATAGCTGCTTCCTGTTTGATGTTTGTCCCGTCAATGGTGGCAGAGTAATAGTAATAATAAAATCTTCCTGTTATATAACTAACTGCTGTGTCACCAAGTCTTTTATTTGTGTGCCTGTTTTAATGATACGTTTGTTTGGAAGAAAGTTGGAATGTGTTTGATGTTTAATCAACATTTCAAGTGTTGATAGTGAATAAATGAAATATCACATTGAAATGGAATTTTGTTATTACTGTTTTAACCTTTTAACACTAACTTTTAAGTAAATTATAAAGTAAATTTTATTTAGAGTCAGCACATATGTAGAATCAACAATAAACTTGCACTTAAAAAAAGCTCTTACAACTGACTATAACATATATACAAAAGATCACAAAACCACAAAGTTTCAATACATATAAGCATAAACATGTTAGCACATATTATTTTTGTCTCGCCTTGTGAAATAGGTATGCTGTTTCTGTTGACGTTGGCATCAACAATGTTTTAGCTTGTGATTAGGTCAGTTTATGGGGATCCACTAGTGGTAGGTCAATGATACTTGGTATGCAGTTGTATAAGCATTAGAACATCTCTTTTCAATGGAGATTATTTGGCCCTGCCCCTCAGTTATGGTCTACTTTGAAACTTTTGCTTTGTTTACATGTTTGTGATTAGGTCAGTATAAGGGGAACCACTTGTGATAAGTCAATGATATTTGGTATGCAGTTGTAAGCATTGGCACATCTCATTTCCATGGAGATTATTTGGCCCTGTACCTTCAGTCATGGTTCATTGACTGAATATTTTGCATAACTTGCATGTTAAGGTATTGCTTTTTTAATTTCAACATTTGAATTTTACTATTAAAATAACTAAAAAGGAGAGACATATCTCTGTGAACAGTTTATAAATAAGATGAACACACATAATCATCAGATTAAGTTAAAAAAAATATTGGTCAGAAGCACTTTTAAAAGTCACATAAGCACATAAATAACAATTTCAAACAAAAATCATCATTCTTTCAGTTGAACAAAGATGTAGAGATGAAAAAAGAACTTATTATTTCTTCATCTCTTATACTCTTTTCTGTACATTTGGTCTGTCTGTTTGTCCTTAGAATATGTAAAAGTATCCAATATTTATACTTGTCACTGGGATAAGGCATTCATTTCTTATTTGATCCTTTCCAAACTTTTATGAAGGTTTCCAGACTGGCAGTGTTAAACGTATTGGTTAGCGGGCTACCTTTTGACATTGGTGTAACAACAATATGATAAAACAAACAATAGGGTGTGACTCATCAGATTATTATGAAGTATAAAAATACCGTACTCACAGTTGCTTAAAGATAGTTTGAAGCCAATTTTAACTACCCCTAATAAATAAACCATGATGTCCATGACTAAAATGACAATCGGCTCACTGCCAATAGATTTATTGTAAAGACGTACTAATTAGCAGTCTGAAAAAGCACGACATTGTACAATGCAATAAATAGGACAGGACATAGGATCATAAGTGTTAATACCTGGATACCAATACTAGCTTAGTCTTGTTCCTTACAAACATAGGGTCATACATTGATGAGACATAAACCAATATTCCTGATTTACCATAAACTATACAGCCAAGACCAGTAAAATGTTGTAGGATCATTAAAATTTTCATGAAAAGAGGCATCTTAAGCCATATAAATTGACAGAACTTTGATAAAATACTGATATTCATATAACTCCAAAACTTTTTCATAAGACTGAACAACCCAACTACACTAATAACTTAAGCGACTGAAAGAGCAACTTACATCCTATAATAATAGTTGCATTTCTATTATGCTTTATAAAGATCTCTATTAAATTGAATCTCCACAATAATTTCAAGACCTCAGTAGAAACGAGACTAATGTCCATGAATGATATCTGTGTTTCCTTTATATTTTTGTACATGAAACATCATGAAGTAACTAATAGGGAGTCGTTGAATATTTTATTTTTTTTAGATTTCAGTTAAACAGAATTAACCCCTCAACTACAATGCACACTAGATTTAAAAAATATTACAACTATTTCTTAAATTCCATGAAACATTCGTTTGTTTGATTGGATTGATTTGAACTATATTTGGCAAACAAATCCTTTCAAAGCATGCGCAATGATGATGATGATGTTGATGATGGATTGGTGTTAAACATAAATTGGCGAATATATACATACCAGGAATTAAAGATATACAAAATCATTTCATGTTCACAAAGTTTTCCCTAGGATCGTATTCAATAAATAGATCCAAAACTCTTCTTTAAAACCACTACGCTAAAGAGTAGGTCCCAATTTACTATGCATTTGTTTCATTCAGTACAAAAATCAGGTAGTTGTTAAAGCATACTGGGATTGGTATTTTAGTGCAACATATCACTGTTGAATAAAAGTTTAATACACTATTAAAATTGTAAATCTTGCATGTTTTTGTCAAATTTTGCATCAAAAGACATATTTATCCAAAATGAATTAATGTGTACCTGAAAGATAATATAGAGAAATACCTCAAATATAATTTTTATTTGGTTTACAATATCCTTCACGTATATATTTACTGTGTGTATTTATAAATACATGTATACCCAAAATTTGAATTAATAGGATTACTTTATTTGGTATATATAAACATTGCAATGTGTACATGTCCTTCTAACAGGGTTCACATGACCTTGACCTCACTTCATGGATCATTGGACAACGTTAAGTTTTCGTGGTTATGTCCGTATCTTATATGCTTTATAGTATATAGGTCAACTATATTTGGTGTATGGAATGATTGTGAAATGTACATGTGCGTCTGGTATGGTTCATCTGACCTTGACCTAATTATCGTGGTCCATTGGTCAACTTTAAATTTTCATGGTTAGTTGCGTTCCTCGGATACTATAGGCGATATGTCAACGATTGTAGTAAGTATATGCCCTTCTGGCAAGATTCATTTGACCTTGATCTTATTTTCAAGGAACATTGATAGTTATGTGATACCTCTAGAAAAAACCTTTATCATAAAGACGGTTATACAAATTCAATTATATATGATCAGTAAAACAGTCGAGACATTTCAGTTTGTGCACTCTTGTATTTATAATTTTCTCATACGTTTAGAAATAAACCGTAATATTGTTAGAACCTCAAAGTGCACGATTGAAGCCATGATAATGAGAATTTTCGTAAAGATTAAAAGACTTTTGAAAAGAATTTGATTTGGAATAAATTGTCCCTTGTTCTTTTAACAAACGTTGGCATATACAACTAATTATAAGAATCTAACTCAAAACTTTAATTAATCGAGTGACTTTGCAAGGACTTTGCAGATATCTAAACCGTGACGACGTTGCCAAACAGTACAGGAAATAGATTTTTTAATTATGATGACTTTGTTAATGGTGAACCTAGTGAGACTAAGTTCATGTAAAGTTTTGTCATGTTTTTTGTCCCAATATTCTCATCTTTTCTACACTTGGTGTTTAAGTGCATACCCAGAAATAACTTTTGCATGAGATTTGGCATTTTTTAAAATGAAAGAGTAGTAATATAATCAAATTTATTTTCATTACATTAGAAAAAACCAAGGAAATTAAAAACATAATTTTATGGTTCATTTTGATTGGATTCCTGTTGTTTAAATTAGCTACAATTCCCAATAAAAGGTTAGAATGAGCTAATCTGATACGACTTAGTATTTCAACTAGACAAATATATTCAAAAAGCAATTGTGGATATGACGATGTCATAAACTGGAAAGGATACCTTTTTTTTTGGGGGGGGGGGGGGGTGTCGTGTATACAATATATAAGTGCAATGTTCATTTTCATTCTTATGTGTTAGAACCTGTCAGATGCAAAATAAATTGCCATACGTCAAGAGAAAAAACTTACCATCTAAATATGTAATTGGATAAAATAGAATTGAATAGGATTACAAAACCAACTAAAAAAATATGCAAATGGAGATTTTAGCCCCCCTTTATTCCCTAATAGCTCGGACACATAAGAGACATCACGAAAACGTAGAAGGGGTATAAAATATTAAAATAAAAACTCAGTAAGATAGTTAATTACATTTGTGGTATGTTTCAGTTATCTTTTATTGTATTTTAAAATATCTCATGAAAAATAAATGTAACATATAAAAAATTTGAAACACATTGTCTGGTGTTTCGGGTGTGCTACCTTAAAAAAAGACCTCTAGCTTTGTGCCATATACATCTGTTAATCTTTGTGTCAAGAGAAGGATAAGGACGTAGAAAATATCAGTGGACAATCACAGATCCTGTTTAATATGATGTCCAGTTATACCATACTCTTGGTAAAGACCGTTGTAAACGTCATTTGAGTTGTCTGTAAAATATTGTTGTATCTTTTTAATCACTCTATCAGCTTCAACAGTAAATGATTTGTTAGAAATCGCATTTTCATAAAACATTGTTGTTTTCTCTGCTGCTATTTCAAATGGGGTAGGGTTCCATCCAAGGCGTTCCTTTGCTTTATCTATATTTATTGGCCCTAATGTCACAGACGGAAACAAATGCATATAGTCCTCTTGTTCACTTAATAAAATATTTGTAGACCCTTTTCCTATTTTATCTCTAATGTGTGATAATAACTGGTATAAAGTTTTTGTTTCTGAGAAAGCTAAGTTATAAGCTTTGTTGAACACACCTGGTTTAAACGATAATGAATTAACGATTAGATCTGACACATCTTTTACGTATACAAAACTTAAGGACTTATAAAACAATCGTTTCGGTATAGTTATTGGATGAGTTAAATAGTCGGATAATTTTATCCATAGCTGGTAAATCCACCATCGTAAGGTGTTATCTCTCGGTCCTATAACATCCGGTAATCTCAAGATTAAAAATGGCACTCCATCTTTTATTAATTCCTCTTCACATTCTAGTTTCTGGTGGCCATAATCATCTTTTTCATTTAATTCTTTCTGTAATTTTTCATCCGTAGGTCTTACAGCATCAGTTTCAACTGTAAACTCGTAATGCTGCTTCTCTTTACACACTTCGTATACTGAATCTGAACTTATGAAAATATACTTCCCTATCTGATTTTGGAATGTTTCAAGGACATCTTTCATCTGAAATGAAAAGTATCCGCTGAAATCTATAACGAAATCAAAATACAAACTGTCACCACTTTCTAATAAAAAAGATTGTAAGAGATTACAGTCTTTCAGAGG